TCAGAAGAAGTACTATCTAGGTTGATCATATAAATATTATTAATTCGATCGCCGGTAAGGATAATTTTCTTATCACAAAGGCGTTCAACCAGACAATGACTAGATGTAAAAGTGACACGATTACCTTTGTCACATAACTGACTAATACTAAGCAAATTATGCTTGAGACCTTTGACCAACAACACGTTATCAATTCCAGATTCTTTGTCTTTGCCAACAGTTCCGGTTCCGATAATCTTTCCTTTGTTGTTGTCACCAAAAATAACATTCCCACCATCGAGAGATTTAAGAAAAATAAATTTGGATGCATCTCCAGTCATGTGCTTGGAGCATCCGCTATCAAGGTACCAAAGTACGCTTGATGCCTTCAAGCACACCTGAAATATTTATTTAATTGGGGGTTTTAGGTACCCAAACCATCTTGGGTCCTTGAGAGTTAGTTCTAGCATTATAAACATCAGTCTGTGCCCTTTTTCTATTCTTAGCCATCATTCTAAGTTTTCTAAAACATACAGGTGCAATGTGCCCAACAACATCACAAAAATGGCAAATAACCCTAGGATCATACATATATCTATATGGACTAGGTGACTTTCTATGTGTCCTAAGATAATTAGATTTTCTAGGTGCATTCCTAAAATTCTCATAATTTCTAGGTTCTCTAGAAAATAACCCTAGGATCATACATATATCTTACATTTCTTTTGATGCATGATAATTAGAAAATGATATTAGATTTAAACAAACTAAATTATCACAAACCTTTTTCAAGTTCTTTTATGTTTTCTTCTAAGTCTACTCCGGTGATTCCTTTTTGTTCGTAGCGAATCTTGTGCACACAAGAGAGCTTGCACCATCTTCATTTACACATGAGAAAATGACATTAGTAGTATTCACTATTTTTATGAAAATATATTAGGGAGTTAAATAAAATAAAGTTGTATTACATTACCTTTGAAGTCAATGAGCTCCGAAATGGATCGAGATGACGACCACCTACACTAAAGGCTGATTCTGATGCAACAGTTGATAGCAGAATTGCCAATATATCACGTGTCATGCGTGACACAATAGGATAACGATGTCCATTAATTCCCCACCAAGCCAATGCATCCATTTCCTCATCTTCACCTAGTTGCTCATTCAAGTACCTGTCAAATTCACTCTTTGCATATCCACTAATTCCCTTCAACCTTTTAGCTCTATCTCGAAGACTTTTCATGTATTGCGCTCCACCTCCTGATCCAATATCTTCTTCTATGATATCATCTATTGACTCATTTGTTTCAGCACTTAGAGAACCAGAAGAGGAGTACATTCTTCTATACTCTTAAAATAAAGAATGAGCATACTTTTCAACATTTTCTGCAAGATCTTTGCCTTTTTTCACTCCAAACATGTCAACAGGTGTGATTCCAACCACTAACATCTTATAATGTGGATCAAGAATTGCTGCAACGTAAATAAGCTTGTTCATTTTATCCACATCTCCCCAATACTTGTTGTATTTCTCTCTCATTGCAATGGCCATTGCTTGAAATTCAGGATCAACATTTTTTTCCCATTTATTCAACATTGTTAGACGCCTCGCACACCTCTAGAGGGGGGTGAATAGAGGTGTTGCCCAAAAGACCAGTTTTTTTTTGCGCAAAAACGTTCTTCACGAATATTCAACAAAAAACAATGCACCACAAACAAAATAAAGTGAAGGATAAGAGCAATGCACACACGAGATATACTGGTTCAGCCTAAATGCCTACATCCAGTCCTCAAAGCAATCGTGCCCAGGTCTTCACGAACCTGTCAAACTTAACGAAGTTTGACTATCCGAATACAACTTGAGAACTTGATTTCACAAGCCTCTTATCTTACCACCAAAGTTTTGATTTCACAAAACTCAGGATTTCTTCCACCTAACGTTTGATTTCACAAACCGTTAGGATTTCTACCACTTGGTGTAATCCCAACACCAAGAATACAAATCTCTTACAATAAAGTAAGAAAACAAACCGCAACCGAGTAATTCTCCCAACACGGAGTAGATTGTTGCAAATACAATGAAGTCCTTTAGAATATGGCAATACCTCTCAAAGACTCGAGCAATGAGGAAAAACTCAAGCAAGAAATGATTTAGAAATCAAAACAATTGCCTTGCTTGGATATAAGGAGGGGATTGAGTAGAATCTCTTTGGATATTCAAAGAATATGTTCTTCAAAGTGTTCTAAGTGCTCTCATGAAGATAATCACGAAAGTAGGTAGTTTATAGAAGTTAGGGAGTGGATAGGGATGAAAAGCATTCAAAAAACTAGCCATTTGGTAGTTGAAACTGTCGACTTGTTCGAATAACTCAAGAACTATTCGAATAGTTTGGATCAATCACGTGGCTTGAAAAACCAGTTCCTATTCGAATAAATCAGGTTGAAAACCAGGACTTATTTGAAAAAGTGGTGGATTTATTCAAATAAAACAGGTTAACTTCAGTCACAGGAAAGATCACGACTTATTCGAATAGACTAAAGATTTTTCGAATAGAAAGGCTGATCTAAAATGTGTTTTAAAGGTAGGATGATAAGGGAATGAACCTTAGAGATGCCATACTCTTTAACACATAGTCTAAGACCTAAAACACTACCCAACTAAGGAAACAACCTCTTCGGTCTTGTTCCTTCCACCGATGCTCAAGTCCCTTCTTCACGGACGGATATGAACTTGTTGTAGCTTTGATTCTTAGCCTTGATGCACAATATGATGATGATGTTTTGTCACCCTTTTGTCATTATCAAAACCTAAAAGACAATGTGCAAAGGACATTGCAAAAATATATATTCATGATAGCACATTGTCCAACAAACATATCACAAATGGCAGCAATCTCAAAAAAACCTTTATTGCTAGTCACATAAAGAGATCCTGAAATACGACGAGTTATAAGATAAAATCCTTTCAAAAAAACAAGCAACCTCTCTACCTTCTCCCAGTCACCAGATTCAGGAGGCAATTCGTCTTTAGGAATGTCTTTTCCAGTTGGCAAGGATATACCACTAAAAACACGTTGAAATTTCACATCATTATCCAACATCATGAAAGTTGAATTCCAACGTGTGGGAACATCAATAGATAAAGAGGACTTACTACCAATATTTGCCTTTTGAACAAGATCATTAAACCTTTGCAATCTTGCAGGAGAGTTCCTAACATATTTAACACAATGTCTAACTCTACCAATCGAATCACCTTGTTCTTTTATGCCATCCCACACAATAAGATTGATAATATGAGCAATACATCTTACATGCATGTACTCTCCACCACTAAAACAACCAATTCGTTGAACCATTTTTATAAGGTGCTTACAAGCAAGATCATTCGAACTAGCATTATCAACCGTAACTGTAAAAAGTTTGTCCTTGATACCCCAAGCCTCTAAACATGCCTCAACAGCTTTACCAATATCATCACCTTTATGACTAGAAATAGGACAAAAATTTATAATTTTTTTTGTGCAATTTCCAATCATTGTCAATGAAGTGAGCAGTGAGACACATGTAATTAATCCTTTGGATTGAAGTCCATGTATCAGTTGTCACACTAATTCTTTGACAAGAATTTCTGAACATATCTTTCGGCTTCAACTTCTCATTCAAATAAATATCATAGCAATCACGAGCAATGGTAGTACGGGAAGGAATGTGAAATCTAGGGCAAGCAATAGACATAAAATACTTAAAACCAGGTTTCTCAACATGCCTAAAAGATAGCTCATCAATAATTGTCATCCTAGCCAAATCCTCCCTCACATCTTTTAAATTCACAGTCCCATATTTCAATTTATTCTCTCCATCACCACCATCATTATCCCCATGAGTTAAAACCAACTCAGATTGTTTTCCTTTTCCTTTATCTTTATTGGCAGGATTACCTAGACATATTTCTGAATGATTCTTGACGTTTTTTGAGCCATTTAGATTACTGTCAGCGGAAAAAGTTTTATCACAAAACTTACATTCAGCTCTTAGAAAATCACCTTCCAAATACTCAAGGTAATTGTGCCAATACTCCGCCCTTATCTTGCTCTTTCTCACTAAATACCTTCGACCATTTACAAGAACTTTATTTGGTGGCAATTCCTTCTTCAAATCATCAAGATTTGTTTTGCTTGCTGCATCAGAGAGTGTTGATGCGGTTTCTTCAGAGGAATATATTGGCCACTTCAATCGCAAGCTAGATATCTAAAATGAACAAATACAATAAACATTTACATTAGAAGCAAATTTGCTATAATTCATCTACACACACCGTTTGAGTTCGGTGGGTGGGGATTGGGTAATCTTTAACCTCACTTTTCTTATTTTAATTCATTGATGATCCTCTAGAATTTATGAATTTGTTTTCTTATTAGTATGAATTTGGTTAATACTCCTACTTTATTACATTTCTTATTTTATTGTTTTCTATTATATTATTGTGGATTTGTGGAGTACTTTTTGGTATAAGTTCAAACAAATATAATAATCAAAAGACATAATAACTCATAAAATCCGATTGGGTTTGAAGCAAATACCTAAAACAATTTTTTTTTATTTGTTCTTACATTTTTTTAGTTCTAAAAAACTAAGAGACTAATATATACAATTCTGAAATTAGAACTAAAATTGAAATTTTAAGCATAAATTCATGCTAGGATTGCTAGGAATAACCATTGCTAGGAAATAGTAGTAGAAATTGAATTTTTACGGTTATACCTCTTCTCCCTGTTTTCCATTTCCGTCACAAGTTGGCAGCTCCGGCGAGAAGGCGCTGGCGAGAACGAGATGCAGCTAACGAGAAGGAGATGCGGCTGACGAGAAGGCTAATGGGAGTGACGGCTGTAGTTTTATTGCGAGATGCTGCTCTGGTCTCTCGTCTCCATTGACGAGAATGCGAGATGCGGCGAAGGAGTATGGGAGGAGACGAAGTGACGAGATTAGGAGAACAAGATGGTGCAGCTCTGGACTCTGGTCTTAGGTTTGATTAATTGGATTGGATAATGAATGTTGGGCTTGGATAGTTGGATTAGTGGATAGGAATAATAGGATATGTATAAAAAAATAAAAATAATAATGTATTTAAAAATTCCGGTCCAAACCGGTTATTTCTGGGTTTTAGACCAGACCGGACCGGAACCCGGAATCTATAATTTGTTAAGACCGGAGACCGGACCTGATTACTCCGGGCTGGTCCGAACCGCTCCATTCCGGTCTAGTTCAGGTCTAATTTCCGGTCCAGACCTGTTTCTGCACACCCCTACATGTGAGGTTTAGGCGTGTAGAGTTATATTTATAGTTATATGGTTTTGGGCTCCGTAATTAAATAACGTACCTTGATATAAAATATCCTTTTTAAGCCAACTTGCTCTAAATTCAAATTCATTTATACCGTTGGATTTGTCTCGTCGAATCGTACACAAGGGTATAATTTCTATATTTTATTAAAGAATATTTAAAATAAACTCTAGGTCCGTCTCAATAACTAATTAATTATTTTTAATTTATTAACTCTGGTAGGCCAAGTTTCAGGGCGTTACATATGAAGCATTATTTTTTGTGGGTGTTGCATTTACACATCACTTCTTCTATTTTTTTCATAAAAATAAATGTCATAAATAAGCTCTTATAACAAGCAGTTTTCTATATTTAGTCTCTAATTTTAACATATTTAATTCACGATTCACAATTCTTATTTTTTAAATTAGTCTTTTAAGCCAAATATGACCAAATATTTTTTTAACATATACTTCAAATGACCGATTATAGAATACTTTTCAAAAATTAAGGACCACAAATGTAATATCTAATATTTTGGGACTATATATAGAGGAATACAAGTTATAAGAGACCATTTATAAAATTTAGGGGCTGTTTGGCAACTTCTGAATGGGTAAGTGCTGAACCAGTAAGAGGTCTGAATCATTAAGTGTTGAACCAGTAAGAGGTCTGAACCATTAAGAGCTAGTATATTGCTTAACTATTCAGAGGCAAATGTCTGATCAATTCAGACAACAGCTCTTAACCATTCAGACTATGTATAATACTTAACCATTCAGAGGCAAATCTCTTAACCATTCAGACATCTGAACCATTAAGAGGCTGAAACAAACAGTCTGAACCATTAGGTGCTAAATCATTCAGACATCTGAACCATTAAGAGGCTGAAACAAACAGCCCCTTAATCTTTTTATAATTATAGCAACTTTCAAATCTAGTCCAAAGTTCTTCCAGATAGATTAAAATATGGCAGCATTATTATTTTTTAGATTTCTCAAACTAAAAAGGGCAATTTACGTAAATAGGTCTTAAACATATCACTTTTCATTAAATATGACCAGTCTTATCTTCTCTAATGTTTGGCAATGGAAAGTTCCAAAATGTCATGTCTTTGAGAAAAATGACCAATGACACAATTCAAGTAAAATAAGCATTATTAAAAAAGATGTGAATATTCATTGAAATAATCATTCATATCCAATACTTGTTGCTAATGACCACATTCGTAGAGTCATTCGTATAGCTAATGACCGCATTCGTAGAGTCATTCGTATAATTAGTCATTATTCAATACTTTTTGCTAGGGGTGTTCAATCGGATTGATGCAATCCGGATCCGATCTGAAAATTCAGATATCTGAAAACTTTAGATCGTGTTAAACTCATTCCATATCCGGTTTGAAAATATCCGGATAATCGAAGTTTGGATATCCGAATTTTCGGATCGGATCACTGGATTATCCAAAAAGTTAACTGTTTAGCCAAATTTTACAAAAAGGGCAAAATAGTAAAATCAACCCACAATATAAAATTCAATATAGATTTACTAAAAGTAAAATTCCACTACTAGGTAATGGCCTAATAAAAAATTATACCAAATTCAATTTGGGAGTAACTTTGGTAGTTTGGCCTAAACAAACAAAAAAAGCACTACTAAAACAAAAAATTCCAAAATGCTAATGCAAAAAGTCCAAAATGCTTAATTTCCAAAATCAACATAAAGTTGTATTAAACATAAAGCCATAATATATATCCATAAAATTCATTAAACATATAGCCAAAAAATCGGATATCCGATAATCCAAAAATACCAAAATTTGAATCCATATCCAATCCGATTTTTCTCGGGTATCCAATCCAAAATATCCGAAAACTAAAATATCAGATAGGATGTCCATTTCTTGAATCAGATCTCTCCGGATCATGGACGGATATTTCGGATCGGATATTTTTTAACATCCCTAGTTCTTGCTAATGAGGGCATATATGGTAGATCATATAAAATAATATGTCATAAAGGGAATAAAACATAGTCTATTCAGGGAAGTGTACTATCTTTTAGTCCTTTATGGAGCAAAATTTTCAACTAAAAATAACCTTAAATTTTGATCTTAATTACTACTCCTAACTTTGTGGGGTGCAAATAAAGTTGAACTCGTTAATTGAGAATAATGCTCAATTTAGTCCTCCAACTAACAACCATCAACGACACCAAAGCAACATTAAAACTTATACTAATTTCTCAAAATCTTCATTTCCAAATGAATCTTTTTTAGACTGGTCCATTTAAGAAAAGAAATCTACATGGATAAGAGTAAAAAGGTATGAAAATACTAAAATATGAGTCATAAGTCTTTTAAGACCAGAATAGGAGTATAATGGTATTGTGATGTATGTATACGTGTTTGCAATGTTATTTAAAAGTGATGACTGTATAATAAGTCAACTGTCGGCAATTTGATAGATGACACTTTAGTGCCCGACATTGACAGATGACAATGTGATAGTGATACTGTGGGAGTTACAATGTGACAAAGTAAAATATTTAGGGCTCCATGATATACTAGCGGCACTAGTTTTGGCATTGAAAATTTGATGTCCCTATTTATATGGTGAAAAGACATATATCTACATTGATCATAAAAGCTTGAAAACCTTCTCACATTAACAAAACTCAATTTGAGACAATGAAGATGCTTGCAATTAATCAAAGACTATAATCGCATCATCGGCTATTACTCCAATAAGGGTAATTTTGTGGTAGATGACATTGGCTAAACTTCATGTTTGAAACATTAAAAACTAAAATTCTTACAAAGAAAAGTCAAGATCAATTATGCAAAGAGACAACTGAAACAAGAAATCTCCATTCAATCGAACAGAGGAATATACTCCGTCGCATTTTATATTGTTTGTGTTAAATTATTAGAATAATAATATTGCTCCTTGTATTATAAATTACATGATAGATTATATATAGAAGAGACTCCTAACACAACTAGGAATAGAGAATGAAGACTAACTAAAATACAACATCTACTACAAATAAGAATAGGAAGTTGACAATTAATCAAACACTACCATAACTAATACTACCAGAAGTAATATTAGTATTATTGTCTAACATCCCCCAAGCTAAACTCTGGCTAAAGTAAGAGGAAACTCACACTAGCTGGAAACTTTGAGAAGAGAGAAATCTGACGTGCGCCGGTGGTTGTTGACGTCTTGGAGAAGAGAGAAGTCCGACGTATGCAGGTGGCTGCTGATGTCATTAGAAAAGAAAGAAGTCTGACGTGCGCTGGTGGTTGCTAACTTCGTTGGAGAAGAGAGAAAGGGTTGACGTGCCCTTGTAGCTGCTGACGTCGAAGAAGAACAAAGAAGGCTATTGGAGGTGTCTATTTGATTGAAGATCCTTGACATTCTTTGTCTTTTTCTTGGATCCGGGCAATACCATGTTTTTTTCTTGAAGGGGTGACTTGTAGAGGTATTCTTTCCTCTTTCACTACTTCCCCTCTTGGCTTTACTTTTTACTGATTTACTTTGGATTTTTATTGGTTCAACAGAAGAGAAAGAGAAGGGAGTTTGATGATAAGAATGAGTGATTTGAGAGAAAAACTGGGTTAAATATTGGTGGTGAAAAAAAGATTTGGGTCTGGGATTTTTTTATGGTGAATTAGAGAGAAACAACTATCGTATTTTTCTTTTTTGAGAAGATAGGATGATCTGAGAGAGTTTGTGAGGAGTTGGGGTTTTTTTTGAAGAACCATGGAGATGACAAGAGAGAAGTTCCTCCTTTGATAGTTTTTTTTGTGTGATTTCAACAAGGGTTTTTTTCTTTTTTTCATTTGAATGGAGAAGTTGATTTGAGGATAAAGAAGAAAAAGAAAATAGAGGTGAATAGGGTGGAGCCGCCGTTTCTGGAATTACCGGCGGGGCGGTGGGAGCAAAGAACTTTTTTTAGGTCACCAAGAGCGGTGGCTCTGATACCATGTTAAATTATTAGAATAATAATATTGCTCCTTGTATTATAAATTACATGATAGAGTATATATAGAAGAGACTCCTAACACAACTAGGAATAGAGAATGAAGACTAACTAAAATACAACATCTACTACAAATAAGAATAGGAAGTTGACAAATAATCAAACACAACCATAACCAATACTACCAGAAGTAATATTAGTATTATTGTCTAACATCCCCCAAGCTAAACTCTGGCTAAAGCAAGAGGAAACTTACACTAGCTGGAAACTTTGAGAAGAGAGAAATCTGACGTGCGCTGGTGGTTGTTGACGTTGTTTGTTAAGAGTATCCCACATCAGAAAAGTGTGAGGAAAATAATCGGGATATAAGCTCTTGAGTTGAACTAACTAATAGATTGGATTCAATCTTTTAATATGGTTCAACCCAAGTGTCTTATTACCCAATCCAGTTGTCCATACCCATCCCAAATTCTATCAGTCTGTTTTGAACATTGGGCATGTTTAAGGAAGAGAAAAAATGGTGTTGACTTTCCAAAAATGCCCTTACTTTTCTAGGGAGGTGGCGATGAATTAGTAGATAAGGTGGAGAAGAGTGGCTTATTTTAGGGGTAATTTAGGTATTTTATCCTAAAAAATATAATCCTTTACTATAATATTTGAGACTCGTCTCACAGAATTTTGACATGTGACGAGTTTATTTGGCATTTATTAACAAGTCATCATCAACCTATTCATTATTCTAATGAGTTGCGAATTTTAATTAATATATGGAGTGGTGATTTGGCATTAGTTTATTTTATTTTTTTATTTATTGAACATAGTGACTGAATTAATAGTATTTTTTGAGTTTCATGCGGTTAATCTTAAGAATTAATAATCTTGTTTTTTAACACTTCGGTTCGTTTTTCGAGCAATATGTTTGACCAATTAAATTATTTAAAATATATTAGTAAAAAAAACAAAAAAAAATTAAGTAAACATATTTTTTATTCGGATATTATAGTCTAATTTTTATATTTTAATTCATTATATATTTATATATGTAGTAATTCATTATATACATATAGGGGCTATGCAACACTTCATATTTTTGGATTTGGAATTATATTTTTGCATAAAACTTTGATCATGAATCATTCATTTTTATTAAATAATTAGTAATGCATATACTTCTCTGAATGAATTTTATTAATTTTATATTTATGTTAGTGGTTTTATATCAAATAAGCATTATTTTTTCCATTTATAAATTTTTTCCCCTTTTAACATATTACTTTTTAGCACTAATATATTAAACATTTACATACTTTAATATTTGTAGGCTTTCCCCATAAATAATAAACTTAAACTACAAATGTAAATTAAATTTTAAATATACAAACTAATGTAAATTTTGTTTAAAAAATTTGAAATCAAAATAAAATTTCCCTTTAATATAATTAAAATTTTTAAACAAAAATATAAAAAAGAAAAAAAAGAAAAAATGACCATATAATTTTGTTAAAGAGTAAAAACTAGAGATCTATTAAGACTCATTCTAGAAGTTGTTAAAAGGTTTTTGGGATGATATGAACATAGTAGAGAATATGGTTTTTTTAAAAGCTAAATCTTAATAAGACGTTAAATATAGTAATTTGTGATATTATTTTCCCTCTTTTTTTGAATGCTAATTCTTATAAATTTAGTAAAATATTAAATATAGTAATTTGCAACATTACTTGCCTTTTTTAAATTCTTTACTTAATTATCCAAATTTAGAGTCATATTAATAGAAAATAATTGGTACCCCTCAAATCCTATTGCAAAATATTCTGATATGATTCGAATAATGTGCCATCCACTACATCCACTCAAGTTTAAGAGCCTGTTCTTTAAGACTGGAAAAAAAGAGCTGGATGTTGGAAGAAACTGGAAAAAATTTGAAGAAACTGGACGAAACTGGAAGAACTGGAAGGAATTGGAAAAAACTGGAAGGAACTGAAAAAACTGGAAAGAACTGGAATAAATTGCAAAAACTTCAAAAAATTGGAAAACCTAAAAAAACTTTAAAAACATTTATTTAAATTCTTGTTGTTATAAATTATTATTACTATTATTATTACAATTATTATTATTATTATATTATTTTTATTTTTATTATATTATTATTATTATTATTCTTATTATTATTATTATCTTAATGAATGTCTTTAAGATACGAAAAAAGTAGTATTTTTATTTTTCAAATACAAAAACTACTTTTGCAAAAAAATAATTATAATATAAAGTTAGCATAAATATAAAAATATTAAATTTTAAAAAGTTTTTGTGGTTATGTTGCACCTCAATGTATTTATGCAGTATTTATTATAAATAATATAATTGGAATTATACTTTATATATTAAAAGATTTTGTTTTAAATATCAAACATGTCACATAATTTAATCAAACCTATTTTTTTCTTTCATGATTGACATTTTTTTTCATTGAAGTCCTATTTTTAGAATAAAGACATAGAACCTTTTTTTACATTTCTTATGTTTTATTCCTGTTTTAGTCTTTTTGTCTAAAATATATTGACTTTCAATTTTTTATAAAAATTAGAAAAATGATTAAATTTTAAGTAATAAAGGGAAAGGTAATAGGTCTTGTATAAAGTTAGATTAATAAAACATTCTATGTCACTATTTTATCCATAATTTTTTAATATAGTTTAACATATTGATATTTTCTTGTTTTATCATGAAGATTAATATACAAAAAATGTCTTATTCATATTAAAAAGTTGAAGAAAAAATAATGAGTGTGAATCATATAAATATTGAGATGAAAAAAATAATTTATAAAATAGTTATGAATATAACAGTTGTAAGAATAATAATAATAATAATAATAATAATAATAATAATAATAATAATAATAATAATAATCACACTAAAATATATCGTTTTAGAGTAATTGGTTGGGAGTAGAAAGAGTTTGAAAAAAATAAGAATAGTTGGAAGGAACTGGAAGAAACTGGAAGAAGCTGGAAGAATTGGAAGAAACTGGAAGGAACTGAAAGAAAGTGAAACTTAAGAGTTCAAGCCCTAAAGGACATACTCTAAATAGATATGTGTTCAAAGATGCTCAATATTGTGATAAAAAGGACAAAATCATCATTTAAACTTCATATTTTTGGTTTTTTAACGTATTGTTGCTAGAAGCATCTAATTTTTCCATAACATTTGGAACAATGGAAATGCAACTTAACAAGAGATGGACGAGATCGGCTAAAGATGCAAGGGAAAAGGATAAAAGGAAAACTTCAACAAAAAAGAATGACATGAAAAGGTGTGCCTGCAATATGTGCAAATAGAAACAAAAGAGCTATCCTACTTGAGAATACTTTTAACGCTTAAATGAGGATGTACAAGCTGCTAGAGCTTGAAGGTAGTTAACAATGTCGTACATAACTCATTCGGAGATGCATGCAAATTATTGGTATAAGAATTTATTGAAGGTATACAGGAGGCTGTTGAGCTAGAACATGGAGTCAACTAAGAAAGTTGTTTGTCACATTATTACTGACAAATACCACGAGTTGTCTTCAAGTTGTTTGGAAAAAATCATTTGAGCTCTTGGTTGATGTGATTTTTTTACTAGAGAAGAATATGGTGCAATGAAGATTCCTCTATAAAAAATACTAATTATTATTTACATAAAGATTAATATGAAATGCATGGTACGTATACAAAACTATAGAATTGAATACGTATACAAAACTCTAGATTTGAAATCAGGGTTGAAATAATTTAGTCCCATTTTAACCATTTTTTTTGCAGAACTTCTTATTTCCCTAAAAGATATAAAGAGTTTGTGTTTCATTGAGATTGAAAATATTACTTAATTCAAATGGAGGATCCTTAAAAGGAGTTCAGTGGTATGTCATTTACAGGTGACAACTCACTTAATAATTTTCAAAATAATTCTTAGTAGAAGACTTGAACTATGATAAAGAAAAGTTATCATCTGATCTTAGATGATATTTACCTAAAATAAATGAAGACTAGAGGAAGATATACAAAAATATCATGGAAGTTGTGACGGCTGAAAGAGGAGATTTCAAAGGTTATAGGGAACTGGAAAAACATCCCTTGAGAAATCATTATTTGCTTCTATAAGATCAAATAGTAAGATTGTTTTGAATGTTGCATTTAGTGGCATTGCAACATTACTATTGCCTATTAGAAGAACATCACACTCGAGATTCTCAATCCCTTTGACGCTAACTGAGTTCTCAACATGTACGGAGTGGGGGCCGAGGTGTAACAAATGATATTGGAGTAACCCTGCGACCGTGACGGGCCAACAAGCTTAAGTTCACATAGCGGGGAAGATCTAGTGGTTTGAAAAAAATGGATGCAATGAGGACTTTGCATTTCTAGGTGGAGGTGAAAGTAATACCCCGTGCCAAGATGGGAATGAGAAGAGCTCAAAATACTTATACCAACAAGGTGCATCTTCTTTTCGAGAGTTCATCACTTGTGTTGGTTTGCTATTTATTTCATCACTGGGGCCTGGGTGTTACTGATTATGCTATTTAGGAACATTGGCAAAACATATGGATGATCTAATGAGAGAAGATTAATCATTGAAAATCCGTGAAATAGCGTTATGGGTGCAATTGTAGTTTTAGGGAATCAAGTCGTGGAAAAAGTTTATATACCTATAATGAATTTTGTATCATCTGATCCAAAACTAGCCTTGAAGTTCTAAAGAAGACAATTCCTAATAATTTCATATTTTGCTTTGATTGTTAACAAAAGTCAAGGTCAAACATTGACATTTGTTGATTTTCTTTTAACTAACTCGGTGTTGACTGATAGTCAATTTTATGTTGTTATTTCACGAGTGAAAAAAAAGAAATGGTCAAAAATATTAATTTTAGATGATAATGAAAATCATCAATTATGAGTATCAATTAAAAAAGGAAAATTGACAATTTAAAATGGAACGATGGAGTATCAATTATGATTGGTAACAGTCTAACTCACATAATCCGAACCAATGAGTTAGCAAATCGGGTTGCTACTAATATGATATGTGCATTCACAATATTTTAAAAACATCTAAAATAAAACATCCACTCGTATTAATTTTAAATAAATATAAGTAACTCGGAATAAACAAATCAAACGTTGCAGAAGTCTTTAAGAAACATCACCAAACATTCTTGTAATTTAAATAAATATCACCAATTGAATATTTAATTTAAAGGCCCACCACCACTGCCAGGTAGCTAGAATGAAGCATCATACCCCCACAAATCTTTACTACGTTCCCAAATAAATTAAGACAAAAAGGCAAGTACAAGTGGCCTAAGTTCAAGTAATTAAGATCATCCTCCTCAAGTTCTGTAGCTTTGATAGATTGATTCCCTCACCCTAAGAAGCAGTGTGGTCCTCAATGCATCCTGCCAATCACCGACCACACAATTAAGAATAGAAAGAACACACAAATCACCATTCTTCATCATTGCCCAACTCATCGTTCTATAAGGCAGACTTATTTTGTTAATAACTGAGAAATGATTCAATATACAAACCATGAAACGCAACGGTGGAAATGGTATATTCAAATTTGTCAGCGGTTAACAGTCTAGAATATTATTATGCTGCCGCTAAAGATTTGTTTGACAAGATCCATCCACAGAACTTAGAATTTTGAACTATGACAAGAGGAAATCACATCCAAGAATAGAATAATGTTGAAATGGTATATGCTCAAATTACCAGTTGGGTCACGCTATCATATTCGATGGCAGCATCCATGAGCTTTGCCGCATTTTTCTCGCCCAGTGACGCAGCCAAATCCTGCCATCATTAAAGCAATACACACTATGAATGTTGTCAATTACTTCGCAAGCGAAGCAAGTTTGAGAGTTTTTGAAAGCCAACCATGCCAACCCGATACAGTACCATGAAAGTAAAGCTCATTTGAATGGCAACAACAACAACAACAACAACAACAACCCAGTTAAATCCCACAAGAGTAGGGTCTGGGGAGGGTGTGTGTACGCAGACCTTGCCCCTACTTGAAAGTAGAGAGGCTGTTTCCAAAGAGACCCCCGGCTCAACGTCGAAAGTTGCATTGCTTGACTAACTGCTACTTCATTAATTAAAGAAGCGCAGACAGTTTAGAGATCCATTTTGATTTATTCCATCACACCCCAAAGCCAAAAAATGGTGAAATGATTACAAAATGTTATAGATGTTAGAACAAAGTATTTCATGATGGCGCGGCTCATAAGACCTTCAGGAAGAAGAGCATAAGGAACAACACTAAAGATTTGGAGTTAAGTACTTCAAACNCAAACCATAGTTGTTAAGGCGACTAGGCGAGTCTAGGCGCTCGGGTACCTTCTAATCGCCTAAGCGATTAGGCGTCCGCCTAGGCGTCCTCTAGGCGAGTGGCTATGACAACTTTAATATTTTATAGGTATTAATATAAAAGCATATAATATGAAATAAGTAATTAAAGAGAACATATGAACCCCAAAAAATAAAGAGTATATATTCTAAAATATATGAATGAATGTTGTTTTTCAAAAAAATAAAATTTAAAAATATATTAAGAAAAATAAGTAAATATTTTGATATTTCTAAACTTTTTAAAAGTGAAATAGTATTTGGGCCCAATGCTCTTTTAATAAACAACTATATTAATAAGTGTAAAGGCCCACTCCTCTTTTAGTTAACCTAAAATAACTAATTGGAGAGTTAGAGAGTCGGAGGGTTTAGAGGAGCCGCTGGATATCTCGGCAGTTGGGACAATGAATCAGCGTCGGCAAGTAAGGTAAGCTCGATCTTCCTCAGTCTCTCTCTCTCTTTCGTCTTCTTCAGATCTTGTTCTCCTCCTTCTTCCTCTCTCAGCTTCTTCTAGTCATCTTCTCCAGTGTTTGCACAAACTTTGAACAGTCAAACTTTGAACAGTCAAACTTTGAACAGTCAAGATTCTATTTTAATGTCAGTGATCTCCAAACTTTGAACCACCAACCCTATCTTAGTTAAGATTAAGGCAGTGGTGGTAATGACACATTCTCTCATAGACTTTAAACATCTTCAGGCTAGCACTATTTACCATTAGACTTTCCATGTTACATCACTTCAGTGGAAAAATGATCTTTTACACTAATCATTTCAAAAAATACCATGTAGATACAGTAGAAAAATAACTTGGGTCCACATACCACCAGTAGCTTATACTCCTGCGTTCCTGAGAATGTTGGATCCAGATCCTATAGATGGATATTCAACATAAGTCTAAAGTATCACATCTTGATAAAGTTCTCAAAACAATAAGAGAAACATTTTTACCTCATACTTCTCTAAAGCATTCTTAATTGCAACATTATCACCAAGGCATAGTTGGCAAAGACCAGCATTAAGAAGATGCTCTCTAACTCCATATTTGAACGAGTTGTTATTAGCAGAAAGGCACGCTATCTCCTCATATATTTTAATAGCCTTTGGATATCTAAGAAATCAGTCATGTTTTAGTCTTGATTAGTTTGTAGCGGCGTTTAACAAGCACACAACCTTATGAAAACGCTTCATATTTCTTTTTCGTCAAGCAGCTATGCTGTGTTTGTAAGCCTGCCAATGGGTCGTGTTTAGACCTAGTTCCGACCCGAACATGTCGATTATTTTGTGGATAAAGGTTAGACATAATCTCCGTTTACCCGACCAGGATTCGGACCCGTTTTAAAAATTCTACAACAGGTAAGGGTTTGGATAACCCTGACTAGACCCAACCCGATATTAAAAAATAATAATTTTAATTTTTTAATGAGATAATAGAAATAAATAATGTATTTAGCCTTTTTTGTAAAGTTATCAACAGTTCCCCACAAAAAGATCCTGCAAAAGAAATAGAAGTTAGATACCATAAAAAAGTAAAATTATTTATGTCACTTGAAAATGTAGTCTAAATATGAGTTATAAAAATAAAAACTCTCAACCAATTAAACCCAAATTTGGACCTGATCCGACTAAGAGCAAGTTCTCCTCAACTAATTTTATCACTTATTACTTTTTCTTATTGGGCCAAACCCAACCCATTGACATGCCTATGTATATGGAGGTCCGCATGCTTACTCTTCCATCTCAGCAGAAAGTTTAGCAATTTTAAGTTTGCACTGCTTTGCAAATGTTGATACATTTTGCCTTTCGAAATAATCAACTGCTGTATTATAGTGCTGGATTGCTATTCCAATGTCTTGCCTTTGCTCATATATTTCAGCAATTTCCTGCACTTACAAATACACTATACATAAAGTGATCTCATAAAAATATTTTACTAGGGAGCTGCTCATATTTTGGCAATTTTGTGCACACACAAATACAACAGCAACAACCCACTTTAATCCAAACTCCATTGAGGTATGGGGTCAAGATGCATGCAGTCTTACCCTACCTCTATAGAAATAGAGATGATGTATCTGTAAGAACCACGATACCTTGGGGCATTTGTTGTCCAGAACATCGTAGAAAGTAAGCAAGGTAGAGTTATGTGCCATTTTGATTAAGTCAAATATGACTCTGAAACTAAAATATTGTCAATAACGACTCTTGAGCTCCTTTGAGAATGGGCAGTCTCCACATACAAATACATTAAACACAAATTTATCTCTTAAAAATATTTTACTAGGTAGACACATGAAGTTCTATATACGGACGGTATTCCATGCAATAGACTAATAGCTAGTACTAATGCATTATGCTAGATAGACAAAGAAATAGATAATAGTACTTCTGAATATGGAGTTGAATCATTTCTGGTTCATGTAGAGCTGGCCTGGCATAGCTATATATACCTTACAATATCTTCCACACATACTGAAATCCCCAATGTCCGCAAATATCTCTACTGCTTTTCCTAGGTATTCCACAGCCTCTGCGACATTTTTATTGTTGAGACTTAAGAATCATCTACTTTCAACTTAAACAGTAAATATAAAAAGCAGAAGGAAGAATGAACAGCCTCCAAATATGCAGATAAACTTAGTGGAAAAATATTGAAACATATTAGTCACAGCAAACATCTTTCCAAAAAATGACAAGCCATCAAAATGTCTATTAATTCTAGTTTCTGGATACCTACTCATCATCTTAACTGACTCTCAACTCACTACACAATAAGTAAATATAGCAAGTTCATATATATCCAGGGGATAATGTAACAATAATATGTTTGGAATGGCTTATTAATCCCGTGAATAGGGAATTCCTGAGAATTGGCTTTGGGAAAAAAAATAGATCTTGTGAGATTACGAGGAATATCTTATTCCCAATATTGCATGAACCACAAGCCCTCATATAGCATGGTTTTTACACAATTACGGGGAATTGGATGATTTCCTTCATCCAAACATGAAATAATTTACTACATGGTAATTCAAATCACATTACCACAATTCCCAATTCACAGTTATTAATTTATTATATTCCAATTTCCATATCATTCCAAATGAGAATAATATGTAAAGTTAAACAAGAGAAGTAAAGCACAAAGCTTCATAAAAAGTTTTGAATGGATTTCTCATTCCCAAAAATTAAGCTTGATATCCATGTTTGGGGTCCAAAAGTTGGGAATCATGGGATTCCTCCCCTATTTCTGAAAATGCGGAAACCAGAAACCTACCATATCGGAGTGTTATGATTTGAATTTGATTGATGAGAATTCACTCAATTCCTAAGAATTGAGCAAAACGCAAGGCAGATTGTGAGGGTTTTTGGTTTATACAATTTTAGATATTGAGATTCCTATGGATCCCGTAATTCCCAACTTTTGGATCCCAAACATGGGTACCAAGCTCAATTTCATGGGAATGGGAAGCCATTTCAAACTTTGTATGAATCCAACTTTTAAGAATTTGGTGAATGCTCATCAATCCCAGCATAATACACCATCCGCCCCTATTTGATCTTTCATGATTGACATGGCACGAAGTTTAGGAAAATGAAATTGTTTATTGAAATTTCTTTAGAAAGGAGAGAGGAAATTTGTTTTAGGATAGACAAAAAAGGAAATAAGAAGATAAGAAGATTAAAAGGGGATGGGGAGAGTGTTATCTAATTCTTGGTAATTCAAAATTCAAAATCACATCAACTCAATTTTGAGTTATTCTATTTCAACGGCCAAACCATTCCAAAAGAGACCAAAATGTGAACTAACATGAGAAATTGAGAAGTATAACACGAGGACTCATTTATTGCACCATATAAGGTTTGGAGATGGCAGGTTTTTGGAAGCTCGACTAGTTCTCATAGAACTGCTTATCAGGGAAGATGGACAATGCCTAAGAATATAGCGACAAAGTATTGTACTATCTTACTGAACCTGGAAAAATGTAATAAGGAGAAATGTTTGCAGACATCTTCAAATTATATCTATGGACATGCCTTTGCGATTATATTTCTTGTAGCTGAGACCAGCCTCAGCATATGCATTAGCAACCTCAAGTTTTCTATTCAACTGCATATATGATATCAAACAATAATCAAAGTAAGCTTACAAGAATATGATAGGCAACACATAAACAAGCATACAAATGTTTATATTCCAGGGAATCCAGTGGACAAAGCAAATACCTTCAAATGGCATCCAGCCAATTTGACAAATGCATCCCCCGCTTCATCCCCTAATACAATAGGCACGGTGTAAGAAAACTGTTGTCATCCCGTGGAACATAATACAGGTAAAACATAAACACATTAAATATTAGGCTCAGCGGATTTATCAGAGTTTGGGGTGTTGGCTTCTGTTTATGTTATAGAGAAGTACTGGTTTTCTGTTGCAGAAGTTAACAAGTTGCATAATAAAGAATCAAGCGCACCTATGATCCAAGTAATACTACCATCATAATATCAACTATTTATATGCATATAACAACAAGGATCTATCTATGAGAAGCACATCGAATAAAACAAGATTTATATTCTTCAACTAAAATCAAGGGTAGAGCAAGTTAGACAACAATCAATAGGTATCCAACACTAGAATAGAATCACTTTGATCCAGAACCTATATCAAAGTAATATGACATCATCACACACCAGAGACTTAACAAGATATCCTATTACGATTTCTGAGTAATCAAATTAATCATTGACGATTGGACACAAATGAACTCGGGAATCCCAATGCAGCAGTGAATCAGAAACTTAACTGAACTTGAAATATGTCAATGAATGGAAGAAATTAATGTGTAAAAACAAGGTACATGACATAGCGAGCTTGAAGGAGTTGGCAGCTTTCTCTAACAATTCAGCTGCATCATTGTATTTGTTGCCAAAAAAAGACCAACCGTCCATCTTCTTATCGGCTCTCTCCAAATAATCTTCTCCTTTCACGATTTGATCCTCCTTCGCTCGCTTCAAAAGTAGCGCCTCTGGAGGAAGCCATCGCTCGATTTCTTCGTCGTCTCCTCCTTGGTTGCCTGTTGCCATTGCCTAAATAGGAAATTTAGGGTCCAAAGAAGGCGAGGAGAAGACGAAGGATAAGAAGGCGAGGAGAAGAAGAAGAAGAAGCGAGGAGGCAGAAAATGAGGAGTGTAGACTGTCAACACAAGTCAGATGAAGAAGAAGAAGAAGCGAGAGAGGAGATTGACGGAAAATGACCTGCTAACATACAACAATGGCAGGTGGGTGATATTGCCTCCATATTTGTTAATAGAATTAAAGTACATGTATCAAAAATTATATTCTCAATAGCTCTTTTTTTATGTTCACAATAGATTTTCTCATTTTATTTTTTAACAATTAAAATACCACAACTACCCTCACTTACTTTATTTATTATACCTCACCCATCTCATTTAATACACTACACCCATTTTTCATTAAGGGTATTATGGTAAACTTTCACCTTTTTTCAACTCTCCTTAAAAATCACCAAAAATCAAAATGAGAACATCTTAGGAGGACGGAGGGAGTATATCACTTTATACCCCAATGGATGTACCAACAACTTACTCCGTATATTACTATGATACCAATAAGATATTTATAATGATACAAAATATTAGTATAAATATTAGTGAACTACTATATTTTATGTTATTATAAATGGTTAAAATGCTAGTGTATCCTTAAGGGGTATAATTTGAATTACCTTAGCATGGTTGTTGTTAATAAACCACTCCAGTTTTTTTTAATATTTTTCGTTTGAATGAACACTATTGCCTTTTTTGGTAGAAATTTAATTTTCCTTCACTTCCTGACATACTCAAATCAATATAGGGTATCTTAGTATCATATTCTTGACTCAATAGCTTTACATTTTTCTTAAAATGAAAATTTATTTTTAAAATTAACAGTTTTAATCAGAATATTCTTTCTATCTCGAGATTGATTGCAATATTCGTACTCTAAATAATTTTTTTATTTAATAAAATTGGAGTAATTTTTAATATATCGTATGTAAGTTTTATTTTTTTTTCATGCCAAATTTTAAATAAAATCATCTCAAAGTTATGGAGTTTTGGCCTCGTAACTCAAAAATTGTTAGGCGGAACTCTCTAAATAAGAGTAAAAAACTACTAAAACATTAAATTAGGAATATCAAGTCTTTTAAGACAAGAATTGGAGTTTACATTGTCATTGTTACATTGTCATATTCACCATATTGTTACATTGCAACTGTCGCATTATCATTGTTATACTTCCATCGGTCATTGTCGGCTACCAAAGTGTCGCCGATCACCGACGATTGACTTATTATTATTATTATTATTATTATAACTATTATTATTATTATTATTATTCTTCTTCTTAAAAGTGAAAAAGAATAAATTTTAGAAACAAGTTAAATAGAAAACTAATAAAGTAATCCTTAATTATTAGCCAGTCGGAAAAATTATTTTTAAAATACATTGCCAATGTCATCTAATTCTACTTTTAAAACACATTTTTATTGCTACATGTAATTGGAGTTTCTAAACTTTTGATCTTTTATAAGGATGATATATTTTAATAAAAATACTATTTCTTCTCTATATTGATTATCTAAATTTAATTACTTTTTAATGTATATATAAATTAAATATTTATTCTAATGTATATATGAACTAATTATTAAAATACTAAATCAATATTCTTATTTCACAAAAAATAATCATAAAATAAAAAATATAATTATATCATAATATGAATGATTATTCTAATATATGAAATAACTAATTTTGTTTTATAAAAAAATAATAATAAAATAAAAAATATTGATTATATTATAATATGAATTATCATTACAATTTTTAAACGTTATTATACAGTCAAATCAACTTAATGATTTGAATTTTAAATCAAATCATAATTAATCAGATTATATCAGACCAAATCAAATCAGATTCATTCTGATCAATTCAGATCAGATCAGATCTAATCAGATCAGATCAGAAAAAATAAGTTGAACGGAACAGAGCCTTAGTGACATGTAAATTAATAAATATAATATGGGTGTTCCTAAATCTACATAAAAAATGATCTTAATGATCTTAAACTCGTATCACACCCGTGCGTTGCACATGTCATATTTACGTTACTAAATTAAGATCATTTTTGAACTAGAAAATGATCTTAATGATGCTTATCTATTAAAAGCACATTGTCACCAAAAACCATTTTCTAAATTTCTTCAAATCCCATAAAGTTGTAATGAAAATTGGGAAATTTGTTTTCCGAAATCTTTTGAAGCTTCGTCATGCTAAAGAATTGTAGCAAGAAAGGACGATTGATAGTTTTTGTTGTTTGGTAATTACGTAGTACTTTGTCCCTCATTACTAAATAAACATTATTTTCTTCAAATGTTCTTTGAAAGTGCATATATTCAAATCTTTGATCTGTGCATGTATTCGATCTCCCTAACGATGCAAAGGAAAAAAGTGTCTATAACAGTCATTATTCATTACAACGTTCTTAATGTATATGTATTTTAGATTCATAATAATGAAAGAACTAACCTCTAAATCCTGAAAAATAACATCTAATGATTCAGGCCCCCTAGCATGGGCGGAGACATGATAAACTCTTATCGCTCTCAGTTTTAGTATAAAAAGTTATGACCTCTCATCAATATTTCTTACAACGCTTAAGATCCTTGTGTTTTGTTCGAATATCGGATTCGAAAACACACTTCAAAGAGGCTAATTACGAAAGTGATTGCGAATTTTTGGAATGCATAAGTTCAACCCTTTCTGTGTTATTAAGTGTTGACTCACAGGTTTTGATAATTGACAAACACAATTTATTCAAGTCAAGATTAAAGTACTACATCGATAAGCACGAAGACTTGAAGTGCCATTCCTTAGAGTATTCAAGAAGGCGCATAGGATTTTATTGGAGTCCGAGACGCGTTCGAAACGCCTAACAGAGGACTCGGAGGAGTAGAAGATTTCCGAAGAATTTTTATTTTATGAGTCTAGGAAATTATTTTAAGGATGACAAAAATAATCTTCTCTCCAAAATTATTTTATGAGAGTTCATATAAAAATTATATTTATTTTTGGAGTCAGTTAAAAAATCTTTTAACTGTTCAAAATATATTTTATTAAGTCAGTTACAAAAGATGTGTCAAACATTTATCAAAATATTTATTTTAATATTAGAAAATATTTTTGGTAAGAAAAAATATTTTATTCAAATATTATTCGTGAATATCGTTTGGCACACAAAATATTTTTGGGACTCATTTTCTACACAAAAAATTCCTTCAAATATTCAAATTTGAATTTGAATATATTTTAATGATTTGAGGAGCCTTCTCACTTTACTTCATTGCCCCACCAAAACATGTTTCCAACTCGCACACATGTCTTGGGGCATTCATGTTTGAGAATTATCCAGTTAGTGGATCGATCCCAAAGGTTGGATCGATCACATGCTTTTTTAGTGTGCGCAGATTTTCCTACGGAGGATCGATCTAGAGGCATGGATCGATCCCTCGAACTTAGCTCAACATTCTTGCTCCACTTTGCAGTATTCTTGGATCGATCCAATGGCCTAGATCGATCACCCGTGAATCGATCACATGGCCTAAATCGATCCTCTAAGCTGAAACCTGTCAAAATCATTTCATTTCTTTCTCCAACAAATATATTCTTTCAACCCCTATTTATACACCATTCCTTGGTGATTTTCAGTATGAACAAACACTCCTAAACTCCCCTATCTTGATGTTATAATCCTCTATTCAATTCTTTCTCAAATTCATATATTCTGAGAGAAAATTATTTGTTTTCAAGAGAGTGTTCTTGTCATCCATAGTGCTTAATCATTTTTTCATTTTTACTCTTATGAGAGTCTTTGTTTAGAGGTTTAAGTCTTGGTTGTGAAGTCTTGTATAGGGCACATCTACGAGCGATTGTATTGAGGCTTGTGGGATTCAAGTTCTCAAGTTGTAACAATTTGTTAAGCACCCGTAAGTTTAACGGAAGTTGTGGTGAACCAGTGTATATTGGTGTGTTCTTTACCTTCTCTCTTTTATTTCTCTTGCACTTTCGTTTATCTTATTTAATCCTGCGAAAATTGTTAATCGTTATCAATAATGCGAATGACCGTATTTATACTATAAATTTTTTTATTTCTTATCCTCTTGTCCCTTTTTCAAATTTTTATTTTTTAAAATACAATGAAATTTTTTGGTAATCACAGCCATTTTACTTACCATTTTAAGATTTAGGCACGACACCTACCTTTTTTTATTAATAATGTGTATTTTTTTCCCAACAAAAACTTTGTATAATGAAATTACCCATACCTTATTTAAAGTACCTATAAAGTATAAATGGAAACATAATTAAGCTAATAACATATTTTTTTAGTTCAATTTGCAACGGAATATCTGCTACGGACTTAATCCGTCACAAATTGCGACTGAATCTGCGACAAACAAAAGTGTATTTAGAATTTCAGTAAGTCTGCGATGGAATTAGAATAACCGCCGCAGATCTGCGACGGAAGATGGTTTCGTCGCAAAAATTTGACCGTCAAATGTTTTAAAAAGACTCCCTGCGACGGAATACGCGACGGAATCCTTTCCGTCGCAGAATTTTAATAAAAATCTTATCCCTGAATCTGTCGTGTATTCTTCCTTTCTTAGCCATCCGCGAAGCAGCGACGAACGAATCCAGAAGCTCATCGCCGTCCGCCACAGATACCTCTCGCCGGTCCACTGCCGACCTTTTTTTCACCGCCAAGTCCGCTTACGCCGTCCGCCGACCCACCTGCTGCCCAAACTCCGCCTGCCGACCCAAGGTACAACTCTAACCCTAATTTCTTTTACTCAATTGAAGTGTGAAATTTACCTTGGACATTTTTTTCTTGGATTGCATGATTATGAAGAATGTATTCACTGTAAAGTATTAAAAAAGTATTGTGTTTAAAGTTTGTATTATTTTTGCAATTTTTTTGTTAAATTTGGTACTTAAAGTGAATTAAATTTATTTAAGAAATTTATCATATGCTTTTTATA